ATCAACATTGTTGAAGAACAACCTGCATAATACCTTCAAAAGTGCTCAACAATTTTCCAGACAAGATGTGTGGTGTTTTTTTTTTTTTTTGAAGAAAATTTATGCCAACCACTATGCCAACATAGGTAGGGAAATCTGTACTGGCCCAGTAGCATCATCTGCAATAGACAGATAAACCTTCAGGCTATTCTGGTCAGTCTTCATTAAAAAAGACACAATAGAAATATAATAGCTTGTGTTTAAAATGCTGCATTAATATCACTTTGACCTGAGCTGCACTGTCCAATCACCTTTTTAAACATGTCACAGGACTGTTACTACTTCGCCTTTCTAAAACAACCCAATTCCTCCCAAGTATGCTGGAAAACAGTAATTTGACTGCTGTGACAAGACAAGAAAGAGTTAACTGTTCAAACACCTGATTGGAGTCTCTCAAGAGCTGCATGTCCAGGGGTGGATTTTTTAAAACTATATGTCATTCACTGCAATGGAAAACCATAGTATTGATGTTAATAGTAAAGTATCTTTTATGAGCCATGGTCTATACACAATGTAGGGCTGCATTAACTTCAAAGGTGGTAAGGAGATTAAAACAAATAGTTCATGGGACGTGACATGCAACACAGCATTAAACATAGAAGACTGAACAATCCCAGTGCCTTGGCAGGATCCTTTTATATTTCTTTGTTAATGAGGGAAATTCTTAAAATCCAATCCGGCAAGCATAAGTGTAAGGAAAAGCTTTTAAAATGTTATCACGTGTTATTTAGTTGAGCTAATCATCAAAGCATTTTTTTATGGCAACAAAAGGGGGCTTTCCTTACCAAAATCAATACAACTCACTTTAAGATACCATATTAGTGCTCTTTTTAACCCCTAAAATGTGCCCCTCACGTTTAACATTTCCGGGGGTGGGGGGAAGACCGAAAATCACACCACCGGTTTCTAAGAGTCACCCCTCCCCCCTACTGCAGACAGAAACCATCCCAAGAACCTGGGACTCTTACTATGATCTTGGCAGCATTCAATCTCCCTGGTGCTAAGTTAGAAAGAACATGACAAAGGATAGTGACATGGAAGCAGGAAGTGCTTTACTGGAAAACTGGCGGTAGAAACTGCCCTTCCCTTTACAGTTGCTCCAGGACTTTCCTGGGGTCCCCACCACTCTATAACCCAGTGGGTCTCAGCCCTGTGGTCCTGGGAACCTCAGGAGCGCTTCACCAGGGAGCTGGTTAGAGATGCAAATTCAGGGCCCCACCCCAGGCAGACTGAATCAGAAACTCTGGGAATGGGGCCCAGCAATTTGTGCTTTAACAAGCACTACAGGAGATTCTGATGTACTTTAAAGTTGGAGAACCGCTCCCCTTCAAACTTTAAAGTGCAGACGAATCACCTGGGGAGCTTGTTCAAATGCAGATTCAAATCCAGCAGGTCTGAGGTGCGACCTGAGAGCCTCCACGTCACACAAGCTCCCGGGTCAAGTCTTCAGCAGGCCACACTGCCAGTGTTTCTGAAACCGGTTGTTTACCAAAAATACACCGGGCTGCTTATAAAATACGGGTTCCCAGGCAACACCCCAGACCAAGTTCATGTGAATCTCAGGAGACAGGGCCAGCTGAATATTGTACAACGGGTGGTTCTCTGCCTCAGCTGCACAGTAAAATCACCTGAGGAGCATTTAATAATCCTGATGCCCAGGCCCCATCCAGGACCAACTCAATCCGAATCTCTGGGATTGTGGGGTGGGTATCCATAGGTTGAATAATTCCCCAAGGATTCCACTGGGTGGCCAAAGTTGAGAACTGCCGCTTCGAATCTAACGGGCTCAACACTTGGCACAGTGGATCCCTTTATTGTAGCAAATGGTTTCCCGTAACATGACTGTCTGGGTTCCCACATGAGTCCAAGACCTCGGATTTTGAATAGTAAAAAGCAACCAAAGTCACGTTTAAAATCATGTCTTAAACCTTATTTCTGTGGGCAAATGGGCCTGTACAACGGAGACCAGGGATTTAGTAATGCGTTCCTAACTTTTAACATGAATGTTATCTGTCTTCCATTAAACAAGTTTTCACTGTCCTCTCAAGCTGTAGCTACTGCCACCTCTGTGCGGTGAATAGGTACTCCAAGAAACAGCTACCAACAGTGAAGAATTTGTATCCATACAGCCTGTTCATATATTGACATCCTTTCCCCAAACCTGAAACACATAGAGGAAATTTCTAATAATCTTTCAGAATGGAAGCGTAATTTGATCTAGAACTTCTAAACCTGTAAAAGGCAGATTTCACTACGTACAGACATTGTGACAGAAAGGCCCTGGGAAGGGGTGAAAGCCGTGTGCTTTTACACGTGAGAATCTGAGTTGTTGAAAGCATGTCTTTTGGTGGACAGAGATAAGACCTCAAACACTGCTGCTCATGACATGATACTAATAACTCGGGGAAAAAAAGAAGTATGTCCATTTACAGCTTATGCCCCGCCCCCCCAGCACAAAGCCACTAGTAAGTACACGATGCTGTTAAATACGTAATATGTAAAACAGAAAATGTGTGGTGGTCATGAAGGCGCTGTCAAGAGATTAGTTACTTCACTCCCACAAACACTGCTTTTAGGAAATTTTCTCGAATTTTCCACAGTACACCTCAAAAATGACTTTAAGACAAATGAAAATAAGACGCAGTCCTCTTTCCCCTTAAGTAAACGTTTGTCTTCCCTTTGGTCGTGATCAGTGTCTCTTCTAAATTAGTTGTTTTGTTGAACACATGACACATTCAAGGCCTGCTAGATGGTAATGGTTATGATTCTTCCACCACTGTTTCAACATATCTGTGATGGTGAAAAGTGTGCCTTATCTGTTTAAGTCCATGAAAAAGAAATCCAGGGGATGGGGTATTAGAAGACAAGCAATACCTTAAAAACATGTGCCAAGTGGCCAGTTAAAATGACAGCGTCAAAACCCTTTTCTGTGTGAACTGGTCAAGCTCACTTTCCTTTTAAACTTCTCGTTATAGTCATTCAGTTAACCCAAACTCACTTGAAAATGTGTGAAAATAGCACCTCCCGAAAGTGTGTTCTCATATGCTTTGGAGCAACGGAGCGTGAATAGTAAAACAGCCTTTGCCAAAGTCATGTAACTGAACAGGAGTGAATTTTTGCAGTCCCATGACTTTGCAGAGCCAACCTATGTATCATCCCACGACTGGCTTTAATACATCATAGACATCCAAGAGAAGGCAGAGAAGTCACAAATAAGTGACTCAAGCTAATAAATATTTCACAGATCTTTTTTTTTTTTTTTTACATGGCAGTTTCTTTCAAATGAATCTGACTTCTTAACCAAAAACCAAATTGGTTAAGTAAAGGTGTGGGTTTAGGATGTACATTCCCAGAATTAAAACTATGAAATTTCTAAAATATTTAGTTTACTGGGCAAAGTGTCAGTCTGGATGCTCTTTCATGCATTTTTTATGCATAAATGCCCAAAGATGAAGCAAGTCAGAATGAAAATGCACAGACCACAGAAGAGTGGCAAAAATACAAAATTAAATACATTTAAAGTACTAAGCCAAAGAAAACAAACAATACAAATTTAAAATTACCAGGATACTTTATTGCAATTTGCACTTTACATATTAATTTAATATTTTTAGTCTAGGCAGAAGTGTTTATACTTATTCAGTAGTAGTCTAATCCCCTAATCTCACAAAATGAAAAGAAGCAGTTTGAAAAGAACATCAATTCAGGTATTTATGATATGGCGACAAGGGGCACTTGTGTTAGCTAGGAAAAGGGTTGATGGTTTTCAGTAGAAGTTTCACAGAAATTTTTCTCTATTATTTTTGTTGTTGATGATGCTAAGAACTCATAATAAAAACAATTACCCTCTTTGTCATTCTGCCCTTCCTTGGGCTTTACATTCTGTCTAGCATTTAACTCAAAAAATCAGTTTACACTCAGTTTACACATTAAAAAAAAAAACCATATGCCCCATCTCCCACACATCCAAATGGATGGGGATTAGAATTAACCTGCTTTTAGCTGTAACTGCTATTTTAAACAATTTCAACCACACACTTGAAGGGTAAAATAACTGAAAGTACACAAGCCAAAAGAAAGCATAAAAATTCCTACACACTTACTGTTGGGATTGTTTAATTATCTCTCAAATCGTGGAGCCTAACAGATTTTTTACAAGTGAAATCGACACAAAAGCGAATGCACGCTTAACGTACAAACTGACAGTGACTGTATAGGGGACAGCTCTCTCTGAATGAGCTATTACGCAGGCGGTGGAATTAACAAAAAAAAAAAAAAAAAAAGAGGTCTCACTCTTCTGTGAGAGAGCTGGCGGTGCGCTTCACTAGAAACACATTTTAATGGGTATGTTCGGATAAAAATAGGTAGGAAGGGAAAATGTGTTTTTCAAAAAAAATCTCCTCCTTCCCCCGGACTCAAGGAAACCCGAAGGAAAAGACGGGTAACCTCATAAGCTCCGGAGCTAAGTTCCATCACTAGCAGAACAGAAGTTGGATAGTTGCTTTCACCCTGCAATGGGATGGTAACTCTCCTTGTGCAAGGTACGCGGGGCGGGAATACTGGCGGGGCTTTCACGTGGGGTAAATGGAAACCAAAGTGAGGAGAGGTCAACACCTTGAGTAATCCAGATCTCCAAAACCAGGGCGGTGGGAACGCGGGGTGGCGAAGGAGAGAAGGAAAGGGTCAAAACTCCTCGAAGTTATCGCAAAGAGAAAGCGAACTACCTTTGGGAACCAGTGAGCCATCTCTTGCAGCAGCACCCTGCTCCAAGTGTGGGGTGCTTGCCTCGGAGGGCAGAAAGCGCGGGGTGCCCTCCCTTACTTAGGTCGAGCGGCTCCGGGGACCCGGACAGAGAGAGAGGCAGGGGCCACCGCCGGCGGGCAGGCGGACTCGTACTTTGCTTCAACTCTGAGCCCCATCCCGAGCGCAAGGGAGAGGGCGGCGGAGGGCACGGTACTCACTAGGGCTCGTTGGTGAACCGGGGGGTCCGGGGCTGCTGGTATCCGTACAGGTGACAGTAGAGCACATCGAAGCAAAAGCAGCACATCTCCGCTGACACCACCATCTTCCGGGAGCCGGGCGATGAGGACGAGGCGGCGGACAAGGAGGGCGAGGAAGCGGTGGCGGCGGCCGGGGTAGAAAGTAGGGTCCCCACTCCGCAGCTCGGAGGTGGCGACAGGGAAATCCCCCCGCCGCCGCCGCCGCAGCCCTGGGGGGGAGAGAGGGTACAGCCACTGCCGCTACCTCCTCCGGCTAGACCTCCCAGCCCGTTGAGCCGCGTGCCGGCGCCTCCTAGTCCCAGCTCCCCAGCTCGGCACTGGCTCTCTCCGCTGCAGTGGGAGGAGGAGGAGGCGCCACCACCGCCACCCGAGCCAGAGGGGGGCGAACTGGACAGTTTCTGCTTCTTCACCCCGCAGCAACCCGCCGCCATCTTGGAACAGTCTCCCCCACGCAGCGCTTCCGACCCATAAGTG